TAAGCCCTCTACTCTGGCTCCCTTGAGTTTAGACATAAATAAGAAGGAAGTCAAATAAAAGTATTTGTAGGACGTTTTCGTATCTTGTATTTTGAGGTGATACTGTGACACATAAATAAAAAACAAAACGGTTTTAATTAGGTCAACTAAAATATGCGTCACACATCCTGCTGCAGTCCCGCACCAGCGCCTTTTCTTACAGGTGAATAACCTGACCCCCGACCCCTGAGCGAACTATGGATAAATCAAAGAAAAGAAAAGTATCGGAGGAACAGAGGGTGTAATTCTGCGTGGTTAGAGTTATACTTTCACAGCAAACGATGCTGGCTTACCGGTATGTTTGATATGTGGAGAGAAGTTGTCAAAGGGGCTGCAGCCTTTACGTGTTGGAGGAAAAACACGGGAGAGGAAGACAGCTGACGATCTTCAGTCATAATTCAATCAGTAAACTCTTTTTAGGGTGCAGCTATAGGTTTTATTTATTTCAGAGTGGGTACATTTTAATAGTATTTTTTTTTCCTTCAAATTTGCAGAGGACTCCCCAAGTGCTGTGTTTAATTTATTTTAAAGTAGACGTATACCGGTATTTTTGTTTTATTCTCCTTATAAGAGTTATTTGTTTCTTATTAGAAGTTAACAATTTTATAATGTAATAAATAATAAATGCAAAAAAAAAGTAGTTTTTGTCTATGATGTAACAATAAATACAACTTTATAAGCTATCAAATATGTTTTGCGGCTCCAGACAAAACAAATTGTTAGAATAGGGGACAAAATGGCTCTTTTGGTCAAAAAGGTTGCAGACCCCTGGTAGAGGTGAACACACTTGTCATAATGCATTTGCTGCTCAAGGTAAATGAGTGTTTTCTGTGGTACAGACAAATAAACCAGGACTGCAAATCTTAAGGAGGACAATTTAAAATGTAAATTTAACAGTCTAAATTACTATTTAAAAAAAAATTTTTTTTAAATCAAGTGAAAAGTATTCTGACATTGATAAAAGTTCATTGTATTTTTTGCCGTTACCACATTTTTTTTGACTTGTTTTGAGTTTGTTTACAATCAATTTCAAGGAAGGTTTTTTTTTGGGGGAGGGGGGATGTTTTGGGAGCCACTAGTAGCCCAAAGGAATTGCTTAAGTCACAGCTTGGTACAGGTATGTGTTATCAAAACAGCACTCTGTGTGGGACCAAAACTCTCGAAAGAAAGCAAAACAAACTGAAGTGAAACAGATGGTTTGTGGAACAGGGGCAGCGTACCTGATGTGTGTGGCAGGTAAAGACTCCAGTTGGCGGGACAGGAAGAGCTCTCGGTGTCTGAGCTGGTGTTTGTGTTTCTCGGGGAGGTCCGCCATCTCTGGATTCTCCATCTCCTCTTCCAGCTCCCCTGGGGGTTAGAGAGGGTCAAAGGTCAAACGTATACCCATTGAATGAGGTGGAAGAATGACGTCCGCAGGGGAAACAGGAGAGTGGGAGGCGATGTAAATGTATCGGCTGCAGCAACAAACGGTCTCAGATGCACGACGATATTTAAAGCATGTGATGCACACTCTATGAGGCGGAACAATAGAGACCTCAGGGGGAAAGGGACTCGTGTATGCGTACAGGAATTTTACATTTATCCCGCTGATTATGTCTTCATGTGACCTGCGATATGAATCTGGCTTTCGTAGGGTTTCTCTTCCATTACTGTACTTCACAACTTGAATACAAAAGTCATGCCACACCACTCAGGATTCTCCATCATTTTAATGCCCACCAACTGTGTTTCCATCGCACTATTATTTAGGTCATCTCATGTATTTCACGCTTGTAAAGTAAAAAAAGAAATCACCATTGTAGAGTGTACTCTTCTGTTGTTATCCATTTAGAGCAGCAAAAGGACACAGCAGGGGATCCTGTAGCTTCCATTGAGAAAAGTTGAACACAAAGCTGTTTTTTCAAGGATGGAGAGATCTACTTTTTGAGACTTGCCGTGTTGAAATTTGAAGAAACATAAATAATTAAAAACTCAAATTAATCAGATTTTCCAGGCAGAATTGATTCATTAATACTTTTAATTATGTGAATTACTTGGAGCAAATAGTTGCAATGAATTAATAATGGCAAAAATAACCAAATGAACAGAAATGTTAGGTCTCTTCCTGGTAATCAGTCTGCTTGGATTTGTGTGCATTCAGGATGAACCAATCCTGGCTGCGGCTCTGTAGGAGCACAGTAGGAGACTAGAAAGGTCTTTGTACGATGTCTGCTCTTATATCTTAACAAGAACACATTTTAGTTTAAGCCTGTGAGAAATATCTTGACTTTCTTTTTTAGACAATTTTTGGAGGTATCAGTTTCAGTCATGTTTGCTGTCACCCCAGTGCAATGGAGTTGAAAGTAATTTATATGCTGCTGAATCACTGACAAAACATTTAAAGCACTCAACTAAGGATGTCACACAAAATGTGACGCCTAAAGAAAATATGTTTTCACATTCTTTGACAAACTTGCATAGTTTCCTTTCAGGCTGGTGATCTTGAATGAATTGTTACTAATTCACCTCAGCGTATATTGCATTGTGTCAGGAGCATGAATTTCCAAGATGATTTTTTTGTATTGCAGGTGTAACCTTGAGTATCCTGGTACCCTGGACAAAAAGAATCGATGGTGAAAAACTCTTGGATAATCAGTCTGAAAACGGGTGGACAGAGCGGCAGTTGAAGGGCTATGAGCCCATTTGAGTCGGCTGTGCGTCTGAGTCATCCTATAAGAATAGATTTAACCGCTGTGCTTGTAGGCAACATCACCGACGCTTCCTCATATGAGGATGAGGAGGAAATGGAGGTGGGAGAAGAGGAAAGAGGAGATAAAAGAAATCGAGATGGACAGGAAAATAGATCCACAGAGAGACACATTGGAGAATACAAAGGGAGGAAGACAGAGAGACAGCGAGGAAGAGGGGAGGAAGGGGAGCAATAGAGAACTCAGCAGGGAAAACAGGGGGGGGGAGAGAGCCAGAGAGAGAGCGGTAGAGAGAGTAAGTGCAACAGAGAGGAGGAAGAGCAGTCAGTACGTGCTCCAATTCATTTGGAGTTTCATTAGAGGAAGCGAGACAGAAAGAGGGAGACGGGGAGCAGAACAAAAGCAATCAAGGGATTTTCAGGAGAAGAGATGTGTGGCCAAAATCAATAAGTACTCCTTCACTCCCTCACTCACTCTGCCCAGCACTCAGAAGACACACACACCCACACACCCACACACACACAAAATGGGTCTCACTCCATCTCCTGCCATGTAAACGCAACAAAATATGGACTAATGTTATTAATAAAGGGGAAAAACAACATTACAAAAGGGGAACAAGAAGGTGAAGTGGGGAGACAAACATGAAAAGTGTGTGTGTGTGTGTGTTGTGTGTGTGTGTGTGTGTGTGTGTGTGTGTGTGTGTGTTAGAGCTGCATCTATGTGTGTGCAACATGATCAAAACATGGGAGTAGCTAAATATTACATCTTGTGCTCGTACATATTTAAATTGACATTTTAAGGTTCATGTTCCAGTAGTAATCCGGCTCAGCGGCTCATAATGAGCTCCTGACTGCTGCTGGTGGAGTTTCCCCTACATTAGGCATGAAAATCTATAAAACTGCAAACTGAATCACATCGCAAAAGAAGTGAATTAATTATTGGCCAAACTAGCTTTTTACTGAGGGGGGGGGCGTAGGGATGAGACTTACACACTACTCCCAGCAACATACAGTATAACCAAGAGGAGGACATTGTTGAGCATTTTCTGACAGAGAATCAGTTCAAACATGGGAGAAAAGACAACTGAAGGACAGCGTTCGTTAAGTTATACAGGAACTTTGTCGCAGTCTGTTCTTCTAACAGAGACGAGTTTTAAATAGAGCTAAACAACAGCTCTCAAGCAGACCGATGGCAAGATGTACAATTTTAGAGTAAACACTTTTAATCCAGGCTTTCCTGCAGGAAATTGGTTAGCGGAGCTAGAGAGTGCTGCCCATCTGACAGAGAGTTAGGGTTGTTGTCACCATTTTACCATCATGTTAAAACTTTAAAGTTTGTTTTCCTCTCTCTCTCTCTCTCTCTCTCTCTCTCTCTCTTGTTATTAAGATGTGTTGCTTTGATTAATTACTGCAAAGTGAATGTACAATATGATGCATTAATCACTCATCTGCTGAGCTGAATCAGACAGGTTCTGACACGTCAGATGATTTATGCGGCAACAATTAGTTTTCTTATTATGATGTTATGAATTTTGGGGGAACTTTATTTGAAAGCCATCAGCATAGACTTAAATAGAACATGACACAAACTGGGGACGTTACGCTTTATGTACGGCACCTTAACATCCCTTTAATAGGTTGTTTTCTGTGTGATGTATCAACTGCCTAATAAAGCCTAAAAAGTCTTTATAATATTTCTGAAAAGCTAATAAACTACACACTTGTTTCAGGCAATGCAGCTACTAACAAACACTGCGAACAAAACTAAAAGATCTGAATATATAAGCTCGCACTGACCATAGATTATAAAAAGGAAATTATACAAATGCAGACAAGAGTATATTATTTTAACTTAAAGAAAATACCTTAAGCACGGAGGAGATGTGTTGATTTTTTTTAGACTAAAACTTTTAAATATGATTTGTTCTGTCTACTGTGTTTGAACAAAATATACTGCATGTTGGTCTTTCAGCAGCTGTTTGAGTTTTCTCCCTTTAATAACTCAGTAAGGGTTTTTCTTTATGCCAATACAGGGTCTGCATCTCTGTACGCAACAGGGTTTCCTTTAGCCGGTAATTACCGGTTATTAGCTGGTAAAATGTATTAAAAACCGGTATATTAAAAACCTGCCGGTCAGTGACCGGCAGGTTTTTAATATACCGGTTTTTAATACATTTTACCAGCTAATAACCGGTAATTACCGGCTAAAGGAAACCCTGTTGCGTACAGAGATGCANCCTCCTCCAGGCCTGAGTGCAGACAGCATTCGATCTGTTGGGTGTATCAATAGGAAGACACCTGTGTGTGCGTCTATGCATATGTGCTCTAAAGCGTGGGTGTGAGGCGTGTTCTTGAATGTGGTGTTCTTCTCCAGAGCTTGGAGCTAAACACTGCAGTGTCTGGAACAGCTGGCAGACTGGGCTCCAGCAGCCTTTTAATGTTATGGGTACCAGGGAGTTTTTCACAGAGAAAGACATTAAAATAATGTTTTTTTTTAATGATGGGGGAAAGAATAAGGGGAAATACAGAAGCCCAGAAGGATCAAGATGGTCAGTTTTTAAAAGGTTGTCGAAATACGAGGCTGAAGTTGCTGGTAACAAAAGTGTGTCTTTTTAAAGGCCAGAGACGATCTTAAATGTCCCGGCTGTCCCCCAAGGGGTCGGTGGCAAAATATTCCTTCAAGGCTCTGCTCCAGAGGGCCTGGATTTGAAAGAAGAGCAGCAGAGTGGGATTTATCCTTCCTCAGAATATTTTTTCTTCGTTTTCTTGGTTTTCCGTCTGTCTCTATCATTAAAGCTTTTATCTCAGGAACAACTTGAGGGACATTTCTTCAGATTTGGTACACACTTTAAATCAAGTGTGATGTGAATCAGAGACAGCTTTATTACCAGGTAGGTTTACACGTACGAGAAATTCGACTTGGTGTCGTGGTGCATAAAAACAAGAATTAAAAAGACAGGTAGAGAGAACTAGAAAAATATAAAAAATATAACAGTATTTACATTGCAATGGAATAGAAGGAATAAAATATAGACAAAAAATCAGCAGTAATACAAAATATTGTTGTGCATTAATGTAATGCATAGAGTCTGCGTTGTGTCTGAGGTAAAGTGTCAGTGGGGGGGGGCGGGCCTTGTTGATGAGGCTGGTAGCGGAGGGGAAGAAACTGTTCAGGTGGCGAGAGGTTTTGGTCCTGATGGACAGTTTGTGTCCAGGGTGGGAGGTGTCGGCCACTGTCTTCCCTGCCCGCCTCAGGGTCCTGGATTTGACTGACCTCACAAAACACGTTATAATGTATAAACTAATTACGACAAAAATAGTGAAATGATGACAATGATATTGTGTAAAAAAACTTTACCACCATTACTCAGGAACAGAAGGGGAGGTTGTGACACTATTTCACATTTGGTAAGGTTCTGTTATAGTGACACAGATGTTGGGTGTCCCTTCCTGAGTCTGGACACATGGATGGAAATTGTACATTTTAGAGTGGTTGGCTGAGGCACAACATGTGTGTTATAACAACAGGTGATCTCTGTTTTTTATTTATAAACTTACAACAGTCATTTAAAAGAACTCTTTCTTAGCATCTGTTCTCTTGTGCAACTGATGGTTATCCGTCTTCAGTATAATGTTAGTGGTAAAATACCACCACCAACCACAACAACCCACATCCTGACAGACTCTGGTTGTAATTGTTAAATTACTCATCCTTACCAGCCACATCAAAAATGTGGAGAATCCTTTTAGAGTCGTGATGATTCATGAGGCGTGTGGTGCAGTGGGTTGTGCGTTGGTGTTGGGATCAGGGGGTCACTGGTTCAAACCCCACTGCAGTCAGCATGTCGTTGTGTCCCTCAGACACTTCACCCAAATTGCTCCTGTGGGGATAGCCCACAGTCGCTTTGGATAAAAGCGTCTAACAAGTGACATGTAATGTAATGTGTTAATAAGCTTAAGTGCCAGGTAATGCTTTTCATTAGACATGGTCGGAAGAAACTTAGTATGTTTTTAATTGTGTTTTTAATTTTTTATATTTTGGGTCTATTTTATATTTTGAAAATAGGCAGAAAAGCAAGTTACGTGATGAATTTTGAAAGAACAGAGGTGCAAAATAAAAAAATAAGGTCCCTATTGTTCACAGTGCTTGTATCAAGTACTACCACTTAACATGTACATCAAACATAGCCATCGCCTGTAAAGCAAACAAAAAAAGATGAGGCTAATCACATCAGTGGTAAAAAATACCACCATTCATAGTAGTGCTGTCGTACTAACAATAAAAACACCAGCCTGCAGTCCTGGCAAAACCAAGCATCAGACTTTAACTGGGTGTGGCAGGCTAAATGATGGCTCTTGGGGTGTGTGTGTGTGTGTGTGCGCGCTAACAAGTGTCCTGTTTGAAGATTTTGTGTGTGTGTGTAAGGCCTGTGGGGTGTAACTATGGCAGGAGGGGGATTGTTTTGTTCTGTTGGACCACACAGCATCAGTGTGTCAGTGTGTGTCCCTGTAAGACTGTTTTCTTTTTTCTTCTTACTCAATTATTATTTCTCCAAGCAAATGTGTGAGGCTTCCGGTTTTTAACCCAAAACAATTATAGGTTTTTTTTTTTTCTTTAAACTTGATTTCTGTCAAGTTTATCCTAAAAAAAAAAGAAGAACCTTTTAACTCACCTTGAGCTTAAGGAACCCTGAGTATTTTTTTGTTAGTATACTATAGGCCGTTCCTCTACATTCCTTTTTAGTTTTTGGCTTTGCTCTCTTTGCCATCTGCAGTTCGGTGAGGGGCTTCCAGACATTTGCAATATTTAAAAAATGCATGGCAGAATTGGCTGCACACCGCATGGGTGTGGGCTGTATCCTGTCTGTGTTTCTGTAGCTGCAGCTCCGTGTGTGTGTGTTTGCATGCGTGTGTTTGCATGCTTTGGTCTGCTCTTACATAGGCATGATGACTTGATGTTTTTTTAGCTCTGTCACAGAAGTCACTGAAGGGATGCATTTAGGTGACTTTCCTTTGAATTGAGGTGTGTGTGTGTGTGTGTGTGTGTGTGTGTGTGTGTGTGTGTGTGTGTGTGTGTGTGTGTGTGTGTGTGTGTGTGTGTGTGTGTGTGTGGTGAGTCATTGATCAAATATTTTGCTTGCAGAGATTCTGTGCACTCCCTCAATGGGGCCTCCGTCTCCAGCTTTAGCCCCTCCCCTCTGAGCGGAGCTGCCTCCTGAGTGGTCAGCTTCTGTGGCGGACTTGGCATTTTTACCTCCCTGGCCCCTCCCTTCAGACGTTTGAATTTGCCATGACCAAACCTTTTTTTTTCTATTTTTGAGATGTGGCTCCTAGCTCCCATAAACAATGGACAATAATACTGCCAGTGACCTGATGCTCAAAAAGTGGAACCAGTGAAGGGGTGCTGGTCGTGGCGCAGTATATTAAAACCACTCATTTCCTTTGCCTAGGTCATAAACATGTCACATCCCTTTTTGGTGGATGCTTTTACTACCTTTTTATAACTTAATTCACTTGCAGGATGGCACTTCTTCCTAGTTGTTGAATCAATGGAGCTGCACCGCGGCACTATATTGAACCTGAGATGATATCCTACAGTCAGAGGATGAATTTCTCATTTGCATCCGCAGCTGCAGAGCTTTATTAGCTGTGTCCTTATCAGCCCTAATGATTAGAAAGTGGAGAAGGCAACGTCCTCGCCGCATGTCGACACAGTTGTTATGGAGCACAAACAGATTTAACTTATTGCAGCAGCTTTCTTACTCGTTTAAAGGTGGGGTAGGTAAGTTTGAGAAACCGGCTCGAGATACACTTTTTGTTATATTCCATGGAATTCTTTTAACATCCCGATAGCAATGAATATCTGAAGTGCTTTGACAAAAAATCCATTAAAAAAACTGTCATCTGTGGAAGCCGTAGTTCTGTAAAAAGCACGACCAATCATCTGAGCCGGCCCGGCTAAAGTAACTGGATGGCCTACCTGCCTGTCAGCCTTCAATCTGTGCACAAACTTATCTCGTGCCCTCATTGGTCATGTGCGCGTTCGTGTGTGTTGGAGGAGGGGCTCTGTAAGGAAGTGGCAGATTTTTTTCCGGCTGTGTATTTTCAAATCCTAGCGCACTCGAGCTGGTTTCTCCAAAATGACCTACCCCACCTTTAAATATATTTTTGTAAAATGCACTTAAAGAAATTATGCTTAAAAAGTTTGCATTATGTGCTTACCTTTCTGCTGCTAAACTTTAATTGTAACTTAACTTGATTTCATATGCACTCATTAAAACTGGTTTGTGGGAAAAATAACATTGAGTCAGGAAATGGGAAAACAGGTTTGATCAGTACTGAAGTCTGATTACTGTAAGACTTATGTTTACATACAGACTTTGTTTTTTGTTTGTCACATTTTTTGAAATTTGACTACAGTTACTTAAAGGGGATTAAACAAATTCAAATGTGTTTATGAGGAGAACAATTCAGCTTGTGAAAACAGCTGTTTAATGTCTTCTGTTTATCTGGAGGAAGCTTTGTTATGTCTGGGGGAAATATCCCTTGTGAGGTAAACAAAGTTATCTGGGCTTGGGATAGAGACCGTAGATTTTGAGTTTTGCAAAATGATTTGTTTACATAAACTAGAAGGAGCGGGGGGTGGTAAGGTGTCTTTAACACCATGTTGAGACAAAATGTCACAATAATACCACAACCAAACTCCCAGATGGTGTCTTCTCTCATCCAGTATTGATTTTACATTGGCAGATATTCCCGCTTTAGAAGGAACCGTGAGTGAACTGTTTCTCAATGGTTTTTGAGCAGAAGCATGTAGCTGTCTGCTTCACTGCCTCTCAAACGCTCACTGTATCATGGAGGCGCAGTCAGTCTGTTAAGGGGATAACGGTCTGCGGTGCTCTCCTCACCCTCAGGCCTGCCCTCTCCTCTCCTTCCCCCTCCTCTCCTTCCCCCTCCCCTTGCCGTCTCTCAGCCCTGTAAGGCGACCCATTCATCAATAATTGATAATTGGCTGGGACAGGTGAGATGGAGAGGCAATTTGTAGAGAGTATGGTGTGGGTGCAGTGCCAGGAGATTGGCGCAGAGGAGAAGGATTGAGGTTGGGGAGTTGAGTTGCTACTCAAGGGACGCTCAGCCAGGGTCCATATGGAGAAGATGATCAACCACACAGTCTGGATACTGTGTGATTTTTTCTTGCCGGTCAAATGTCAGGAAAGAATGTATTTTACCGGACAAATTTGAAAACTTACCGGTCATGTTTCAATAATAATAATTATGTGGCAGAGTTTCCATTAGCAGGTAATTACCGGACTATGAGCGGATATGCTGATGTTTAAAACTCAGTTAATGGGGCTAATTTTTACATTGCTTCAGTTTATAATCGTAACAGATCGAAAAGTTCAGATTCATTTTTCAATAAATGATTCCACAAACAACATAATTATAACTTTCAAACAAACTACTTGTAGTAGATGAAGTACATTATTCAAAAGTTTACATTAACTTTGAATAATAACACGGGAGAAACGGATCCTCTCTCTCTCTCTCTCTCTCTCTCTCTCTCTCTCTCTCTCTCTCCTGAAAGCCCGTCAGTGCTCGCTAAACAGTGGGCGGGGCTTCAGGTGATTATGCAGAGCTGCGCGTCTCCGTCAGACTCAGCAGCTGATCTCTGATCTGTCTCTCACGTCCGGTTATACTTCACTCGCGTTTATGTCCATATCGATCAGATCCGGCTCTCCTGGTCGGCCTTTATAGAGAGCACCGATCAAACTATGAAGAGTGAATATCGGCCGATAATGACCGGCGGG